ATTTCGATCTCAGCTTCTGCCGTTGAATGATATGCTTCTTCTTCACTTATTTTAAATCACGGTGACACATTTTGAATATTGATCGGATGCTAATCAGGTATTTAATTGATCTAAACATGTCGCATCTATGAAGGCAAGAATGCAATCAAATTATTATTATATATTAAGTAATAGACTAGAGAATAGATTTGAAAGGGACGAAGAGAGAACGAAGTGTGAAATATGGGTAAATCAGGAATGTCTAGAACAAGTAAATGAAATTGTATACTTGGGGAGTGCTTTTAGCCGGGATGGAAGATGTGATTTAGATGTGGACAGGCGTGTCGCTGCCGGGAACAAAGTCAATGGTGCCCTGACTGCGTTAGTCAAAAGGCAAGGCGTAGTGAAGAGTGCACGCCTTGCAATACATAACGCAGTGTTGGTACCGACTTTGTTATATGGCAGCGAAACCTGGGTATGCCAGAAGAAGCATAAAAGCAAGTTGAATGCAGTGGAGATGCGATCTCTTCGTAAAATGTGCGGCGTTACCATGGCCGACCGAAAGCGAAACGAAGAGATTCGCAATATGGCAGGTTTGAAAGATGACCTTATCACAAAAATTGATAAGGGCGTGCTTCGGTGATTTGGGCACGTTGAGCGAATGAGTGAAGACCGAATGGTGAAGAAAATATATAGCGCGAAAGTTAATATTAAAAGGTGTCGAGGTAGACCGAGACTAACTTTCGAAGACCATGTGAGCAAATTGCTCGAAGAGGGTAGGGTCAAGAGTACTCGGATACCTAGACGTGCATGTATGAAGAAGATAATGAATCTGAAAGAAGCGAAAGAGGTATGTAAGGATCGTGACACTTGGCGATCTGTTCTCTCTGGCTACCTCGTCAGGGATTGTGCGTGAAGATAAGTTAAGTTAAGTAATAGACCTAAAAGTAGGCTCAGCCTCAGGTACACAACAAAACTATAAGATCCGATAGCCATAATTTTGTGTTTTATATAAATTGTGGGCTCTGGGTATGGGTGAGATTCGAACACACATTCCCGGGAAAGTAAGCAATATATTATTCCAGAAAGTAACCGTGATTCACGGCTAAAATATAATAAAAGGTATAAATCCTGGTTCACGGCCTGGTACTTTGACAATCGTCAGTCCATGTGGTAATATTTAGTTATGTGGTGGGGTGAGCTACTATTAAGTAAACGTACTTATAACTGTATTGATATACACTATATATTGAATTCGTTGACCATTATGCCTGTAGACTTAGACTAAGGACTAAAGCCTCGGACACACACAGCGAATACTCGCTATGTGTGACAGGCTATTCACTGCGATTAGATTCATTCGCCACGAATTGAATTGAACATGTTTAATTTTACTCTCTGCGAATGAGCACTCGCTGCGAGAATTCGCTGTGTGTAAAGCTTCAGACACACACAGCGAATATTCGCTGCGAGTGTATTCGCAGCGAATATTACTCACAGCGACAATTCGCCGCCTGCCTGTCACACACAGCGAGTACTACACGAGAATTATCTATAATATGTATCTTTTATATTCTTCAATTTTCTTTTCAATTGCTCTTGGGTTGCTATTTCAAATCCCAACTCAATTAATTCGTTAAACAATGACTGCGTCTGCCTTTGTGTTTTTTTTATTATTGTTACACACAACAATCACACTCGAGAAACGAATTGTATCGTAATTTCCCCATTTTAGAGAATCGTTTATCAGTTATGTATCGTTTATCACAAAAATTGATAAGGGCGTGCTTCGATGGTTTGGGCACGTTGAGCGAATGAGTGAAGACCGAATGGTGAAGAAAATATATAGTGCGAAAGTAAATTTTAAAAGGTGTCGAGGTAGACCGAGACTAACTTTCGAAGACCATGTGAGTAAATTGCTCAAAGAGGGGAGGGTCAAGAGTACTCGGATACTTAGACGTGCATGTATTAAGAAGATAATGAATCCTAAAGAAGCGAAAGAGGTATGTAAGGATCGTGACACTTGGCGATCTGTTCTCTCTGGCTAACCCGTCAGGGATTGTGCGTGAAGATAAGTAGTTTATCAGTTGATTCATTTGATTGACTTGCACACACGTATCATGCAGCAACGAAACAACCTATGCACAGGCGTGTAGTCTGGAGCGGCGCACTGAGCGGAATGGCTACTCGCAGCAAGTACCCTGTCACACACAGCGAATTCTCACAGCGAGTGCTCATTCGCAGAGAGTAAAATTGAACATGTTCAATTCTATTCGCAGCGAATTCAACTCGCGACGAATGAATTTAATCGCAGCGAATAGCCTGTCATACATAGCGAATTCTCACTGCGGGTGCCTAATTGCAGCGAGTATTCGCTGTGTGTGACCGAGACTTAACAGCGTACTCGCTGCGAGTAGCCATTCTGCTCCAGACAACACGCCTGTGCATAGGTCGTTTCGTTGCTGCATGATACGTGTGTGTAGGTCAATTAAATGAGTTAACCGATAAGCAATTCTCTAAAATAGGGAAATTACGATATAATTCGTTTTATGGGTGTAAATGGAAAAAATGGGGAGCTGTTTGACACAAATAACAGTAATTAAAAAAACGCAAAGGGAATTCGAAATAGCAACCCAAGAGCAATTGAAAAGAAAATTTAAGAATATAGAAGATACATATTATAGATAATTCACGTGTAGTACTCGCTGTGTGTGACAGGCAGGCAGCGAATTGTCGCTGCGAGTAATATTCGCAGCGAATACACTCGCAGCGAATATTCGCTGTGTGTGACCGAAGCTTAAAACAAGTGAACACACAAACAAGCAAGCTAACACAAAAATGCGTTTGAGATAATTTTGTCTGAAATTTCACGAAGAAATAAAATCCTTTCATGTTGGTGGTAGTCGTCGCCAAGTCTCGATACACACAGTTGTTATTTATATAAGGGATTATAAAATTTATGAAGTAAAGCCATTTAGTCTTTGCACTGTTTCAGAAAATCTAAAACATGATGCATCCTCAATTTGGGCACACATTATACCAATTTTAAATTATATTAAAGAATTATCGCCTTTTAGTGTCTACCATGAAGCTAATACAAAAGGGAGATGGCATAAGCAACTGTGCACTGTGATTCTAAGTAGGTCCTGACGTCATCATAGTGGGCGTGGCTTTAGTTAGTATACTGTCAGCATTCGTCCTGTGCGCTTATGTGTTGAAAAAATCGCAAATCGGTGTATTTTCGTAGTATTAAGAAGAAAAGGATGAAGTGTTGTGTTTTATTGTGTAAAAACTACTCAGATAGACGCTCTGATTTTATGGATGGCATCACATTTCATTTGTAAATAATTTTACACCTAATTTATCAAAATAGTTCTAGAAAAATCTCTTTGCGTCGGCTTTCAAATATAATTAAATATATTCGACACTAGATGGCGGCACTTTGTGTCATGTGAACTAAAAATATAAAGGTCCGTAGAGCTCAGTATTGGTAAAATAATCATACGAAGGTGCTGAAATTTGTTTTGCATTCAGACATAAAGAAATTTTAATCGCAAAATATTATTTTTATAGTTTATAATCATTTTGAGAACAGGCCGTATTCTCGTCAAGTAAACCTCATAAAAATGACAAAAAGACAGGGCCCTAATTCGAATTCAATTATTTTTCCCAGTAATCCAACTTTTAATATTAAATGCAGGAAATTGTACTTGGGCTGATTTTTACGAAATGTTAAAGTTATATTTAAGTGACTTTCTATATGCAAAGAATCACTTAAATACAATTTAATGTTCTTAGATTGGCATTCAAAAAGTGCATTAGGATGCCTAATTTGGAATAAAATATTTATATTTTAATTGATTTGTAAATAAAATTATATTAATTATAATAATTTGTCTATTATTTGTTCTCCCTCAGAGATATTAAGTAGTATAACCCACACATAAATAATAGTCCAGCCGTTTCTGCGTGAAAAAATTACACATACTTAGTGTGGAATAAGCTCAAGGAGACAGAAAGAACACACAAAATTTCACCTTTATAATATTAGTGAGATAAGTGGGATATTTAGTGCCAAATTAAATAGCCTACTTAATATTGAACATAGAATATTTAGTTTCAAAGAGACTTTATTTTATGGATAAAATAAATATTTCTTGAAGGTTGACTTTCACGAAATGAAAAACATATTTAAATTGTATTTAAGTGATTCTTTGCATATAGAATGTCATTTAAATAAAACTTAAACATTTCGTAAAAATCAGCCATGTACAATTTCCTTCATTTTAATATTGAATGTTGGGTTACTGGGTAAAATAATTGAATTCTAATTGCGGACCTGTCTTTTTGTTATTTTTTATGAGGTTTACTTGACGATAGATGGCGGTCTGTTCCCAAAATTATTATGAAAACTATAAAAATATTATTTTGGCGATTAAAATTTATTTGTCTGAATGTATTTGCTTCATGAGATAGACGCTCCGATGCTATGGATGGCATCACATTTCATTTGTAAGTAATTTTACACCTAATTTATTAAAATAGTTCTAGAAAAATCTCTTTGCGTCGGCTTTTAAATATAATTAAATATATTCCACACTAGATGGCGACACTTTGTGTCCTGTGAAATAAAAATATAAAGGTACGTAAAGCTCAGTAATAATAAAATAATCATACGAATGTGCTGAAATTTGTTTTGCATTCAGATATAAAGAAATTTTAATCGCCAATATATTATTTTTATAGTTTATAACATTTTGTGGACATGCCGCCATCTACCGTCAAGATAGCTAAGCTACATTGCAACATCGATATGGAAAGATTCGAGTAGTTTTACTATTTATCGGTAGATGTAGAATAGTGTAAAGTGGGCGGGGCTTTGCATCCCCTCACTCCGTAAATTGTCACGCGTTGTTACATAGTGAAATTTAATTACAACGTCTCCTCTTTGTATTTGCTTCATGGTGTCTACTATTCAAATCATTAGTGACAGTCCAAGTAGCCAATATACAAATAGATTAATGTTTTACGTATTGACTCAATTGCACAAAGAATTTGTTGCGCTCCTTTTAGTACCGTGGAATTATTTGGAAGCATGTCATGGAAAAGATGTACCTGATGACATTGGAGCTGTGTTGAAGAGAACAGCTGATAGAATGGTAAATCAAGAAGAGGATATTGGCATGTGTCAGAAAGTTGTAAAGACCAATGTACCACATATCACTATTGAAATTGTAAGTAGTGATGATATAGTAACTAAAGAAAAAATAATTACAACAACGGAAATCCCACTATTTAAAGGGACAACGAAAGCTCACCAAGTCTTGTTCAGTTACGATCATAATCCAATGGCCTTTAGAAATAGAATTTGCATTACCTGTCTAAGTACCTGATATCCTTGCATCCACGATATGCATTTAGGTTTTTTTTGAAATACTCATTTACAGATTTATTTATCTATTTATTTATTTACACAGATACGCTTAACAACTATCCCTACAGGCTAAACAAACCCACTAATCTACTTAAATATACTATGTATTACAACTAACTTACATAACTTGACGGCTCCGTGGTGGCTTAGCAATGAGTTGTTGCGCTGGGGGTCGCGGGTTCAAATCCCGCACGGAACAAGAATTTGTATGGCCTACAAATAATTGTTCCGGGTCTGGATGTTTGTCCTTGTGAAATCTATGTTTGTAAACTGCCTCCACGATACAGGAGAAAATTCTAATGTGGGGGTAACGTTTTTTTTTAAATCAAAACAAAAACTAACTATGTATAAAAGTACCTTAGCGAGTTCACTCAGATTAGTCGAAAATATATCAATCCTCTCGTGGACTTTGTTCACTATGAGGATTGTTTGGGCTATAGGTGAGTTACTAAGCAAATTGGTCCTGGCCACACTGGCGCCGCCACCACACGTACCGTTCCGGTGCGCACAGTTGCAGATGGCGCAGCACCCCCTGTTTGCACGCGGCGCCACGGTGCATCTTCACTACGTATGCGTCCAGGGCAAACTCTCGTCTCACTCTGAGCTGATGAAAGTAATAAATAAAATCAGAGCAATATGATAGATAGAAGAAACTTAAAACAGAACCTAAGGTTTTTTTATAGGATAAGGGTGACAAAGGAGCACACAGTCCACCTGTTGGTAAGTGGTTGCTGTGGCCCTTAGACATCTACATCTATCTTCGATTACGAATCAAAATACAGATGCGTTGTCACCCGTGAGGACTAAGATGGAATACCTCGTTTCCAGTCAAAAGGGGTCTCCGGTTCTTTACACTCATCATATAAAACACAGCAGCGTTAAGCTGCTATTTTAGGTTGGTATTCTGTGAGAGCGTGGTCCTTCCCCGGTTGAGCCGTCCCATTAGTGCTACAACTATACCATTAATATAGCTGCAGCATGGCTCTACCACGTACAGTAGGTACAGTATAAAAAATATTGTAATAGGAGCTCCTAGCAATATAATACTCAGAAAAAATAAATGATCAGCTGTCAACTAGTAAAATGAAGGAAGTTTATGATGATAACAAAATAGTAAAACTGAAAACTTTACAAATTCTTAATAAATTTGATTGGGAGAGTACTAGTTTTATGGAAACACCAACAAATTCATTTTTAAATGCTTTGTTGAAAGATGATAATGTAAATAATAACGAATTTTTTCAAAAATTAATGACAGTTGATGATAATATTGTAAAATACTAGGTAACAAAATCATACTGTCTGAGTACATCCATATAATTATTGTATATTTATTAAAATTATTTTGTATGTGATAATGTTTAGGTAAGAGAAAAGCATAGCTCAAAAATAACCAAAATCACCATCAATTCTTTCTGGGTTTACTTTCACAAAGCTATATAAAAGCAATGCAATAATAGATGTTGACAAAGTAACAAAAGAAGTTGGCATAAAGACAACGTTTGGAGAGCTGATAGATGCTGATATTTACTTTAGAAGTCGCGACGAAATCCGAATATCTTTTCAAACGTGAATGTTGAATAAGGTAGACTTTTATATTCAGCGCCATTATAATATTATTTTCATAATCACATATAAGAAAATAAAATTTCGCTCGATTGATAGCGTTCGAGTTAGAAAGAGTACCTGAAGAGAATCGTTCGAATTTATATCCCCAAATTATTAATATCATTAGATTATTCCGTGGAGATTTAGATTTACACGAATGTATAGATTCTGTACCCATAATGAGTGGTCCTAATGATAGTAACGGCTACGAACTGCCATTGAATGTTCGTTACAAAAAATATAATAGTGAAGACTGTAGTTACATTTTATTCCAAACAGTTGTTTAAGGGTTTTAAAAATTATGAGAACGGATACTTCTTTAATTAAATGACATTATTTTGATTTGATTAACCATATTTCTAACTTCCAACATAATTATGTTTCTAAGTGTGATTAATATAATCATAATAGATATTTAATTCCTTAAGTTGTTATTTAGTCAGTAATACTAAGCATTTGTGATTTAGATAAATAACTATTATAAATATAATATATGTTTGTTACATAGAGACCGATACTTACTAAAGTTGTTGCAGTATACCTATGGTAAGGCATGTTCATTATTTTTAAAATTTTACCAAAAGACGGTATCATACGATAAAAAAGTTTCTAATCTTAAAACTATTAATGTTAAAATTACTGTTCTCATACTCTGTATTCTTTATTTTTCTATTGGAAATTATTATAAGAAATTATTATTTTTGTATTTTAATCGCATTTTTTGTTCTGTTTTTGTTTTTAATTAATAATATTTAGAGCTATTTTATATCTTTTCTACTTATATTTGATTATTATGAATTTCACAAATCTATAAAAATAAACATATTTCGTATTTGTTCATTACCGTCTCTTCTTGGTAATTCCCGTCTCTATCCTTTTCATTTTGGAATAAGCCAAGTTCATTACCAGTAATGTGAGAAAATTAAAAAAGTTGATTATCTAAAAGAAACCTGGATATTATTGAGCGTAGGACCAATTTTCTTTTTAATTTTTCTTCTTGTTATACCTTAAATTAAAACGGCAACGATAATAACGCATATTTTGAAAACTTACCCATGTATTCAAAATCGTACGCAAAATATACGATCTTTTGAAATCTTGTATGTTTATAACAAAATAAAAATGAAAATTGATTAAGTTCATTTTATCGATATGAAAAATCAATAACATCAAAATTGATCGAGCTCTAAAATTCTTCTTTGTATTTTTTTATAAATAATTTTTCGAAGTTTCGCCGGTTCATTATGAGTACTCGGTTAATTTTTATTGAAATAATGCGCTATTACTATAGTCAATCGTATTTTTAATCAAGTACCTGGTCGATTATTATATATTATTACTTTAAGAGCTATATTTGTATTGATTAATTATTAGTTTAACTTTATTTGTTTTGTAATGTAAAATGATTTCAGGGCTAATAATAAAAGATATATTTTTCCATCTTGAGTGTGAGTTTCTGTTTAATGAAAAAGTAAAAGTAACCCTGTTTTTGTAATAGAGGGCAGAATGGACATAATCCGAGCCCCTTTTCTTTAATAAAAAAAGCGGTTATAAAGATTAGTGTCAGATTCTTAAATGTTATACCCTTGTTACGGCCAACAGCTGCCCTGCCTCAACAGGAGTTGGATCCATCGCGGCCCATAGACGAAGGAGCCACGGGCAGATGCAGGTCGGGCGTTCCTACGCCGAGGGTCCAAGGTTTCTAATGAACACACGAGGGGAAAGGTCACTAGAATAAATGCACTTACCTGCCCCAGGAGCGCAGACGGTTCTCCTCGACCGGCCCGGCTGATGAAAGTTGTGCTTGGTGTGTGCGGTGTTGTGAGTGTAGGTGTAATTGTGTGTGCTGGTATGTTGACGGGAACCGATCTGGATGACTCGACGACGTCCGGGAGAAGGCACGCGCTGGTATCCCCGGAACTTCACCCTTCTGGAGGCACTCGTAAGGGGTTGTCACCAAATGGGACGGCTACTCTGGTAGTCCTTCAGATGTAAATCACTTTGATAGTTGCGCGCGAATTTCACCGAGTTAGTACGTTCTAATAACGATACCGTTATTGCAACGATTTACGCGGATTGTTCCTTTAGCAAGTTTAGGCGCGAAAAAATACGTCCGTATAGTTCGCAAGAAAAATCCTACTACCTAGCGAGAAGAGCCACGCCGACCTGTCCGGCGGCCGAGGGGGCGGGGGAGAGGGAAGGTGCCCTTGATATCGAGGCCAAAAGCGCGCGTTAAATACTGCGTTTTTATTGCAAATTTTCCTGCCTAGACAACCCCCCGCCCCGGACATAAGGCATTAAGTCCGCGAGTAGATTGGCAAACGGGACAAGGTCGCGACGGCCCGTTGCAAGACCGAATCTCCGACCAAAACCTCGGCCACTCTAGGCACCCCATCCGTTCCATACGACAATTTAACAATGCGCCCACGGCGCCAATACAAAGGTAGCGCGTTTGGTTCTTTAATCAACACGAGGTCTCCCACCCGAGGAGGCTCCGTCTTGTCAGACCACTTAACGCGCTGCTGCAAAAGATGTAGGTACTCCAGAGACCATCGGTGCCAAAAGCGTTGAGTCATCTGTTGCAGCAGGGCAAACCTGCTAAGCCGTGAAGCACTCGTTTCCCTGAAGGGATACTCGGGCAGAGCGTTAAGAGGCTGGCCAATCAGGAAGTGCCCCGGGGTTAGAACCTCCAAATCATTCGGGTCAGAGGAGAGGGGACAGAGGGGCCGAGAGTTGAGTACCGCCTCAATTTTACAGAATACAGTGGCGAGCTCCTCAAACGTCAAAATGGCTTCACCAATAACGCGACGGAGATGCGTTTTGGCAACCTTAACCACCGCCTCGAAAATACCGCCCCAGTGGGGACACGCCGGAGGGTCGAATTTCCACTGGATGCCCCTTTTCGACATAGCATTTCCTAAATAAGTCCGGTGGCTGGACAGAAATTCGACAACCTCCTTGAGATACCTATCCGTGCCCTTATAATTCGTCCCGCAGTCAGACCGGATCAAGTCCGGCAAGCCGCGCCGCGACACGAAACGGCCAAGCGTGGCCAAGAAGGCTTCCGTGCTGAGGGCGCTCACCAGTTCCAAGTGAACGGCTTTAGTGGAGAGGCACACGAAGACGCAAAGATAGGCCTTACATGAACGCGCGTTACGAAGGTTAGAGGACTTGACGAGGAAGGGGCCAGCGAAGTCTGTTCCGACCCCAGCGAATGGTCGGATGGCCCTGACGCGGTCGGGCGGCAAGTCACCCATAAGAGGCTGCGATATGGGGGCTTTCAGTTTATAACAGGGGATGCACTTAAAGATGACGCTCCGAATGGTGCGACGACCAGACAAAATCCAAAACTCCCGCTGCAAAATAGCCGACAGGGCGTTACACCCAGCGTGGGCATTCCTAACATGGTGGTGGGTTACCAGCAACCGGACAAGGGCGCCGTCCTTAGGGAGCAGCAACGGGTGTCGAGCCCCGCACGGCAGTTGAGAGTTTTTCAAACGTCCGCCCACGCGCAGCATCCCAGCATCGTCCAGAAAGAGGTTCAGGCGGGCCAGAGCGCCCTTGATAACGGAGCCACGCTTCAAGTGTTCGATAACGGGCTCAAAATGCTCCGTCTGGACCATACGGATCCAATGCATCAGGGCTTCCCGACGCTCGCTAGGGGACAAAACGCAATCAGAGAGTCGGTTGGACGGATCTCTCGAATTGTGGACAAAGCGGCGCAGCCAAGCAGTCACTCCTAAGAGCTTATCGAGAGAGCTGTACCGTTCCAGAAGGGAGAGATCCCGAGTGGGCTTATCCTTGCCCACTCCTACTCGGGCCCGTAGGCCCGGCAACTCAGTAGGTTCGGAGTAATTACCCTGGGGCCAGAAGGATTGAGGATCAGATAACCAACCGGGACCCCACCACAATGAGTGGGCAACCAGCGCGGGGGCCTCACAGCCGCGGGAAGCGCAGTCGGCGGGATTCAACTCCCCGGGGACATGTCTCCAGTGGAGAGAAGTCTCAGAACTCTGGATTTGAGACACGCGGTTCGCCACAAAGACCTCAAGATTGTGAGGTGCGGCTCGGAGCCAACAAAGTACTATCTCACTGTCCGACCATGTGTAGACGTCCGTAATGTCGATTACAGGCTTCAAGAACGAGTGAACGTGGTTGAGGAGCCGCGTGAGAAGAGCGGCTCCGGACAGTTCCAATTTAGGGATAGTTAAACGGGATCTAATGGGAGCAACCTTGCTTTTGGCGAGTACGAGATGAACTGCAGTATGCCCAGAGGAACTCACAGTCCGCAAATATACGACAGCAGCATAGCCCTTCTCAGAGGCGTCGCAAAACCCATGTAGGGTAGCCCTGCATTTCCCTGGAGGTAGGAAGCACCTTGGCATGGAAACCCGGTTGATGTCCGGAAGGGAGGAGAGCATGGAGAGCCACTCTCGCAAGAGGACCCCGCTAATAGGCTCGTCCCAACCCAACCCGGACATCCAGAGCTTTTGAAGAAAGCACTTAGCCAAAAAGATGACCGGGGTGATCCATCCATTCGGGTCGAAGGTGCGAGCTACTGTAGACAGCACGGAGCGCTTGGTCCATGCTTTGGGAGGTGGGTCAAGTTTTACTCTATACGTGAAGGTGTCCTGAACAGGCTGATATTGAATGCCCAGCACAGTCAGCAAATTAGGATTCTCAGGGTGCTCGAACAGATGAGGGTCTTGTTGATCCTCTCCTGGGAGGTCCCTCAAAATGTGTGGGGAGTTCGACAGCCACTTGCGCAACTCATAGCCTCCAGACTTCAGGATGGCAATTAATTCGTCTCGCAAGACCAGAGCCTCCTCGACGGT